TGTCAGAAAATATCGTGAACCACCGTGTGATTGCGTATTGAACGGACCACATACATCCGAGTGTACCAAATCTAAAATATTCTCAGCACGATTTTCTGAAGCAGTGAAAGGTTGAGAACATATCTTGCTCTTCATGCAGGGTACACAAACAACATCATTACCATTTGTTATTGGATCAATTCCACTCACAAATTTTTTATTTGAAAGTTCGCTTAGGCTCTGAAAATTAATATGCCCATACCTGTTATGCCAATTTATTGTATTTTGAGCTCGTGATAAATTACACCACTGTATATTCTCTTTATTCATGAACCAACGACTACAGATCACCTAATCAGCCATCGTTGTATTTGTAATCGATTTTCAGAAAAAAGTTTTCGTAGCGTTTTTGACGTTTTTCGGTTTTGTTTACACCGTCTTCTACCTCTTCGTAGTGATTTTTTAGCGATTGAATGTGTTTTCTGCAGCGATTTTAATTATAAAATTTGGTTTATTACATATTTATGATATAAAATAAAGTGCTGTGTGATCGGAACAAGTTTGTGCGTATGTTTGGTTTGCCAAAAGGCGTAAATTTGCGTGAAAAGTGGGTGCACGTTTGTGGCCAGAACGTTGGCATTGAAAAATCGACCCGTGGTAATGATATGCGATTGTAAAACACTTTCAATCATGAAAACCATATTTTATGAACTTTTTTTGCTAATTGTCATCAAGTTTCACTTTGTATATTTTATAATAAATACCAATTTAATCGCACTCAATCACCGCGCCTTTTTCGTTTTCTTTGTTTGTTTACATTCTTAGGCAGATGTCAAAAACACTCAGAAATATACTTTTTTCTTGCTTCTTTGATTAGGTGATCTTGTATTTTTGGTTCATGCTCTTTATTAACGTACAATTTATTTTCTTTAAACACTTTAAAAACAATAGAATTGTCAGCCTTGTCTTTCACCACTGCACAACCATTATCAAATGTTGACTGAAAACCTTTTTCATCAATCTTCGGAATTGAAATAAAATTCATGTGCAAATCTGGTACGTACAGACAGTTCGCCAATGCCCTTCGCTTCAACATGATATTTCCCCGCTAGCTCAATTTGTTCACTATGTGCGTTCATTCTGACGAATAAGTTTTTGTGAATACACATATGCGATGTCGCGCCACTATCAACGCACCACATACTAGAACTGCACATGATTCAATAATACAAGGTTCGATAAACTGACAGTTGTCTCTCTCGCACCGCTCCCTTAGCAGCGGCACCGTGCTGCTTCTTTGCAAATTCACTTGGGAAAAGTGTAGCTTTGGGGTGAATTAAAAGAATAAGCTTTTGTGCAATATGTTTATTTGTATATGCATATGAAGCACATTTAACTGATTAAAACATAGATGGTTTTTAAATTGATTGTTTACTTAAATTTCATAGTAGTTTCATTTTAATTCTGAGTCCTTTTGCAGTTTTTATACAGCTAAATATTACATAAATTACGTAATTCACGTAGATATATTAATATATCGTTCAATATTTAAAATGTCAGATTTCCTGCAAATACGTTGCTTTGTTCTCTCTTCTTTTCACTGTGCTGCATAGTGCCCTTTCTTTCCACAGTTAAAGCACTTGAAGTTTCTCTTTCCCCTATTTCTACCGTTTCGTTTGCTGTACTTGTTCTTGTCCCTTCTAAACGACCGCTACTATTTGATTTGCTCTTTTCGTAGTTCCTATTCGAATTAGCTCGTACCGCACATGCTTGCGCATTTTCGAAACCGTTATGGATGGCGTTGTTACAGTTGTCTTTACGACGCTCGCCTTCTTAGGTTATTTTAATCTTCAATGCATCCAATTTCGGTAGGTTATCTCTTGCTTCTAATGCCACCACAAGATTTTCGTATCTTCCAGGTAAGCTCGCCAACAGCTCCTATTGTAGTTCAATGGCCACTTCTGCCAACTCGTCTACAATTTTTGAAAAATTGTCCATGTGTTCGCGGATATCATCGCCCTCTGCCATACGTAGACCTAACAGCCTCTTAAACAATGAGACTTTTCTCACTGGGCCACTACTTTTATTAACCGACTTCCAAAAAAGGAGGAGGTTATCAGTTCGTCGGAATATTTTTTTTTTTTTTTTTATGTATGTTACCGCATAACTTTGGACCACGTCAACCGATTTCGATAGGAAGGGTAGTGTCTTAGAGGTGGTCCCATAGTAATCTGGTTAAGATCCGATCAGCGGATCATGAGATATATATATATATATATTTTTTTTATATGGGAGTTGAAGTCGGTTTTTTTTGCAAAAAATTACTTGTTTAAATATTTGAGCACCTTCCTCACTTGTGACGCCGTGGTACATTTTTTTATATGGTTCAGGCCAGTGTTGCCGCGCCCGAAAAATAAAGTTTAACAAAATCCTTCAAAAAGTTTAACAAATCCCGTTAAAATTAAGCAAGTTATTTATCGGGTCAACTTATTTGTCGGCCGCTGTGGTGTAGTGGTAAGCAGCGCTCGCTTCGGCTCTGCTGCCCCTGGGTTGAACCCTGGTCAAAGCAACATCGAAAAAAATATAGAAAAAAGGTTTTTCCTTAACAGCGGTCGTCCCTCGGCAGGCAATGGCAAACCTCCGAGTGTATTTCTGCCATGAAAAACAGCTTCTCATAAAAATATAATTTCCGTTCGGAGTCGGCGTAAAACTGTAGGTCCCTCCGCTTTGTGTGACAACAACAAGGCGCACGCCACAAATCGGGGGAGAAGCTCGGCCAAACACTAACATATGTGTAAGCGCCAAACTTTTATTATTATTATTTATCGGGTCTTATTAAAACGAAAAATGCCTGGTAAATTGGTTATAGAAATAAAAAGTAAGCAAGTCAGTAAGTAAAGGCGCTCTAAGGCTGAGTTTTGTCGTCAAAAGTAAGGATGTTATATTCTAAGGGCCAATTTCAAATGAATATTTAAACGGCACTTAAGTTTAATTGTGGATTGTTGTTTAAATGCCACTTAGGTTTCGTTGGGTTTCAGATCAACTTTGTCTATATATGCCAAACAATTGGCAGCATTGGCTTATTCTTTGAAATTGTTGTTGCATTTGCATTCTTGATTACATTTTGTGCTGAACAGCTGATTGTTTTTGGTGGAATTTGTTGGGATTGATTAAACAACCAATCAATCTTGGTTGTTTGGTATAATCACAGGCTTGCATATCTCATATTTAAATACAAAATTGGCCATTTAAGTGCGGACTAAATGTATGATCTGAAAAGGAATAGTGGAAATTAATCAACAATCTCTACTTAAGTAGGCAATCTGAAATCGGGCCTAACAGTTGCTAAATTTGAAAACTATTACACATTATTTCAGGCTTTCAACGCATACTCCTATAATAGTTATCTGCCCTTGCGCTAGTTTTTTAAATGCATGCAAAAAACGAGTTATTTAGGCATCATCCAAAATGCGCGTGTTGATCTTGTCACGCAAATGAAGGGACCTAAAGTTCGAGGTCGCCTCCGAACGGCAAATGGTTTTTATGAGAAGCGATTTCATGGCAGAATTACACTCGGAGGTTTGAAAATGCGACGACCGTAGATCGGGAATTGCGTAGTGCAACATTTGCTGGAACTTTATGTGGGATCTGGATGACAGTCTTCCTAAAATAAATTTGAAAAATTTATTGAAATAGTAACTCTTCTGACTATGAATTTTTGAGGAAAATTATCCTTTTTGACTATTTTAATAAAAATTATTAGCAAAACGAAGAAAAGTTTAACATTTTAACAGGCAAGAAAAACTTAATCATTTTTGCTTAAATTTAAGCAAAACGGCAACGCTGGTTCAGGCTCGTTGCCTTTACACATAGAATTATAGTTGCGATCGCTTTATTATTTTTCAATAACCATTCTGCCGCATTTTCGGCAGTTTCTTGCAATTCTTCCGATTCCACCGGCCACAAATCTTGGTGAACGAGCACACTGCGCATTTGCAGACACCAAGTGTCATAATTGTTCGCGTCGAGCTTTTCTATGTTAAAGTTCATTTTATCGCACATATTTGCGCAAATTAACAAAAAAGAATGATTTTAGTTTGCTTCGCGGCACTAACTCTTCTTTTTTGGCGAAGTTACTGCCCAACCAAGCGCTGGCCTGGGCCCATTACCTGTTAAACGATATCCAAAAGAATGAGAAGCCGACCAATCGATGTTGATATCTTGACAGTTTATTAGCGAATGAATTCAAAGTATAAATAGTGTTACCATTATTACATACATAAGTAAAAAAGTATTAAGTTTGAAAAATCAAAAATATATAAGTGTTGCCACATTTTCTTGTGTACATTTAACATATTCTCTTTTTTTTAAACAGAAATACTTTTTCTTATTTCATTTAGTTTTACGAAACTTATTTTATGTTTTCAAATTTATTTTATTTATTTAGTTTTATTTTCATTTTTAGGTTATATGTATTATTTAAAAAATTTTTATTTAGTTTCATTTAGTTTTTAGGGACCTATTTTATTTATTTTCTTTTTTATTTAAAATTTTTAATTTTAGTTTTTTGATTTTGCTTTAAAAATAAACATATTTTTTAATTTAACCTTTGGCATTCCCTATTGTACCACTTTCAAAATTAAGGGAACATAAATATTTCAAAGATACTAGTAGAGTACCGCAATATGTCTAGTAGGGCTATTTATTTTCATTACAGTTTTTCATATAGAACCTGATTCGATAAAAACCTGTGAATTGATTACTTACTGTGCAATTGTGTTTTTGTTTCCTCCACTTTGCAGTTTACTTTGTACGAACAGGGTTATGGCACTTTTTTTTATATTCGAAAAGACTGGTGACATACAACAGGCCTTGTTGTAAATTGTATTTTAATAACATAAGTATGCAGAAATGGACTATAGTGATTTTCTGTTTTGTATAAAAACTCATGATATCTTCATGGTTTCTACGGACTTTCAGTATACTATGGAAGATGTACATACATACATATATTTACCCACCTCCATAAGGTTGCTGATGTCATCAAAGGCATGAGTTTCACTTGCAGAGACATCGCTACCCTGAAATAGAGAAAAAATTATAATTTTTGTATGCAATATGACCTCAGAATATACGCATAATTTTCAACTTTAATTGTCTAATGCATTGCTAGACCATACAGGAGGTTAGTTAAGTTTTGAGGTTTTTTAATGCTATAATTTTAAACAGCAGCCGCTGTGGTGTAGTGTTTAGCTGGTGTTGGAAAACTATCGATAGTGTATACATTCGATAGTTTCGATATTGATAGTGCAAAATATTCGACAGTATCGATACTGTCGAAAGCTTGTTTTCACTTTGTCAAATTCAATGGCTTTTCTCGTCAAATATGTGAAAACACATTGTCAAATGAAACTATAAAACGGTTTCTAGCTTGACCTAGATCAGAATAATCTTCAGTCGTGTACATGTCCAGCTAAATAGGCTACTTGTCCGGTTTCGGCTCATAATATAATCGGTACAGGTATGGGAAAAGGAGATAGAATTGTGTCAAAATATGCACATTTCGTAACTAGAAATAACATAAAGATTATTTGTATAAAGAAAAAGTTCACAACATAGAACTTGTGTAAAACAAAAAGAGAACGTGTATTTCAATAACACATTTTATAACAAACTAACTTTTACCCGCGGGTTTCACCCCACGTCAGAAGGAATTAAAGGGGTCATGTGACTTGTGGTTCCGAAGTTATGGCTGATAAAAAATTCCAAGCCTATGTTAAGTGCTACGCCCCCTTTTACAAACTTATGTATATATACCTTACTATAAGCACCTACCATGGATATGTCTGCATACCAAATGTCATGTTTATGTGACTTATGGTTCCGAAGTTAAAACTGGTAAATATTCCACGCCTTTGGGCCTAGCCGCCCCCTTTCACAGTCTCATTTATATATATACCTTACTATAAGCACCCATCATAGATATGTCCGCATACATAATTTCAAGTTCATGTGACTTACGGTTCCGAAGTTAGAGCTGATTAAATAATTCACACCTATGGGAGGTGCCACGCCCCTTTTTCCAATATCGCCCATATTTTGCCATGAGTATGGAATTAATTTTATTTATCTCGACAGCAAGTTCCACAAATATTTCAAGAGATATACATGAAAATTTTAGTTAGTATAGGGCTGCCACACCCTCTTTTCCAGTACTGCCCATTTTTCTCTATGCCTATGGGAAGGTTCCCGGGGTAAAACGAAATAAGTGTGCAAAGTTTCGTGCGGTTCCGTGCCGCGGTTCAGAAGTTATAAGGTAATAAACAAACAGACATTCACATTTATATACATATATTGTAACGATTATCCTTGAAACCTCGTCCGGATTTCCCAAATCTCTCGGTTCGTATCGCTGGATTGTTAAATAAATGCAATCGATGACCAAATTGTAGTACAATTAACTTTATTGTTCAACAAACAATTTACAATACTCACTAATACAGTAAAAACACTTTACAATACTTGTTAAAGCAATAACTCACCTCGCTCTGGCGGCGCCCTTATATACCTGCGCTGGCACTTATGGCAACTCTATAACATTCTGAAGTTTATCGCTCATTCTCTTTCTCTCGCTGTTCGCAGTGTTCATCTAACTTGACGTTTCTCTTTGTGGAACATTCTACGTCGTTCCTCGAACATTCTGCCTATTTCTCGTTGTTCGCTTTGTGTTGCCGCAGTATTCGCCACAATATATATAGATAACATTATAGTTTAAAAAACTAAAACCTCGCTATTATAATCTTTTAGGCGCATCAATATTACATAGTTACGTCCCGAACTAATAAAAGGGAGGTAATCTATATATATAAAAATGAAATGTCATTCGTATGCCAGCGATGCCTGAAGGGGAATATTTCTTTTGTTTTTTGTACTTTCCGCAGTTATTTGTCAAAAATCGACGTCATGAATCGACGTAAACGACGAGTGCCCTTTACAAAAATATATAACTTGTGCAGATTGCGCATCATTGCATCCATGATAAAAATATAGTAAGGTAGAACCGCTGAGAGTCACTTTTAAGATTCTTGACGTTTCCAAACAATTTAATTTTTAAATTTACTCACAAACTCACACACACATTTTCATTTTCAATCTCAAGCAACAACAATTTCGAACAATTTCAATTTTTTATTTTCACTTTTATATGATTTTAAAATGTTGGCAAACTTCAAAAAAAAATCATGGCCGACAAATTGAAAGAACGGTTATACCTTGCTATGTTTTTATCATGATTGCATCTACATTTCTAATCCGATTTTCATTATCTTTGGCTCAAAATTTACTGTAATGATATATTTTCTTTATCGAATTTTTAAACTAATGAAAAAAATAATCAAATAAAACTGCGTATTTGATTGAAAATCTCGCTTTTTTCGACTTTGACGACAAAATGCAAATGGTCGCCTGTAGCACTAATAATTTTCATTGAAGTCGCCACAAGTTATATATTTTGGTAAGAGCCACATCAATACCCTTCGAGATGTAAGTCGCTTACGTTGATTGGGAGATTTTTTCATGAGATATTGAAGAAAAGCTACGAAAAGTACCAAGAAACACTTTTTTTAAAAAATCCATCCATTGTCCGATAATTTAAAAATAACGAATAAAATGAATGAATGTGAAAGTATGTATGTATGTGCCAGGTTGCAGCCTAAACGGACGGACAGNGATAACATTATAGTTTAAAAAACTAAAACCTCGCTATTATAATCTTTTAGGCGCATCAATATTACATAGTTACGTCCCGAACTAATAAAAGGGAGGTAATCTATATATATAAAAATGAAATGTCATTCGTATGCCAGCGATGCCTGAAGGGGAATATTTCTTTTGTTTTTTGTACTTTCCGCAGTTATTTGTCAAAAATCGACGTCATGAATCGACGTAAACGACGAGTGCCCTTTACAAAAATATATAACTTGTGCAGATTGCGCATCATTGCATCCATGATAAAAATATAGTAAGGTAGAACCGCTGAGAGTCACTTTTAAGATTCTTGACGTTTCCAAACAATTTAATTTTTAAATTTACTCACAAACTCACACACACATTTTCATTTTCAATCTCAAGCAACAACCATTTCGAACAATTTCAATTTTTTATTTTCACTTTTATATGATTTTAAAATGTTGGCAAACTTCAAAAAAAAATCATGGCCGACAAATTGAGAGAACGGTTATACCTTGCTATGTTTTTATCATGCTAGCATCTACATTTCTAATCCGATTTTCATTATCTTTGGCTCAAAATTTACTGTAATGATATATTTTCTTTATCGAATTTTTAAACTAATGAAAAAAATAATCAAATAAAACTGCGTATTTGATTGAAAATCTCGCTTTTTTCGACTTTGACGACAAAATGCAAATGGTCGCCTGTAGCACTAATAATTTTCATTGAAGTCGCCACAAGTTATATATTTTGGTAAGAGCCACATCAATACCCTTCGAGATGTAAGTCGCTTACGTTGATTGGGAGATTTTTTCATGAGATATTGAAGAAAAGCTACGAAAAGTACCAAGAAACACTTTTTTTAAAAAATCCATCCATTGTCCGATAATTTAAAAATAACGAATAAAATGAATGAATGTGAAAGTATGTATGTATGTGCCAGGTTGCAGCCTAAACGGACGGACAGAATCGAACAAAATTTTGACAGAGTATTGTCATGACACCTGGGCCTATAATAGAGTAAAAAATTGAGATTCGACAAGGGGCGTGGCATCTCCCATAGGCGTGAAATTTTTAATCAGCCATAGCTTCGAAACTAAAAGTCACATGAACTTGAAATTTGGTATGCAGTCATATANGCCCTTTACAAAAATATATAACTTGTGCAGATTGCGCATCATTGCATCCATGATAAAAATATAGTAAGGTAGAACCGCTGAGAGTCACTTTTAAAATTCTTGACGTTTCCAAACAATTTAATTTTTAAATTTACTCA